AGTTGCTTGACTCTGGACCAGATACTTTAGTTTCCTGTGCCTCAGTTTCCTCAACTATGAAATGGAAACAATTGTCACTGTGAAGATTAAGTTAATTATTTTATCTTGTCAAGTGTTTAAAATGTTGTTCAACAAATAGCAGCTGTTACTTATCATTTCTCATATAGATTTGAAATCATCAATAAGTCAGGGCATAATACATAAGAAGCTTTCTTTAAGCAGAGCAAAAAGACCACTTCCAATAGATTGAAATCCCTATGAACACACCATTGCCTGATAGTTAACAGAAGAGGCTTAATAATTAATATTATTGCATACCTGATTAGATGACCTTTTCATCCCTATTCTGTATTACAACGTACTGAGATCTGTGTTCATTAAGAGATATCAACACTGCACTTGCCAGGCAATATTCCATTCCTCTCTTTTATGTTAATGATACATTACGCGACACATGGCTTCCCAGCCCATAGATTTCCATGATGGCCAGTATACATCTTCTTGCTGTCTAGGTACACTTCTCTGTCCATTTTACATCTTTCAGGCAAATTGGGTTCTGATCTATACTCTGCATAGACCAAAGGGCTTTCCACTAGAGGCTTACATGGCTTGACTTCTAAACCACAGTTAGGTTATAAAATAAGATGCATTACTGCCCTATATTTTTCTCCATTTACATATTAATCATGTTGGTGTCTCGTATTACCAAGCCTATATCTATTCAACTATTCTACCGAGACTGTTTTGTTTATTTGTTATATATGCATACTTTTGGATCTTTGTAATCTTTCCAGATTCAGTATGTCTTCCTCACAAAACCTAATTTTAAAAATTTAAAATACTTTTACAATTATAATATAGTTCATTCCACTTTTCAGCAGTTTATTACTGCTATTAGGAATATAGCAATATTTCCAAGTTCCCCATAATTGCCGTCCCTGTCCCATGTTCAGGAGGTACCACATAATAAAAATCGTTTTGAGTAAGCTTAGTTACATGATGAGAATTGCAAGGGTAGTCTTTAGAACTTGATGTCAGAGGAGAACTGATTCACTGAGCGTTTCCTAAAGCATAAAAACTGAACCTGTTATAGAAATTCTGCTCTTCTTAATTTTATGGAAATTAAGAAAGGTCTGTTTATTCTTACAAATGGGATATCTTTTATTCCTTTTTGAAAAACTAGGGCTGCAAGTAGAATTTAGGACCACTGAAAATTTTCCATTTTAAATATCAGATTTTTTTTAAACAAATGGAAGTGCACTTGGGAATCATGTACTATTCCTGATTTAATAAACAAGAGTCTTAAAACATGATACTAAAATCCATTTAAGTTACTGATGTAGTCATAAAGGTGATTTTATTAGATATGTAATTAATTTATTAACCAGAGACATTTTTAAAACATTTTCACTAGATATAAAAATATAAAAAACAATAAAGTTAAAATACACTATCAATTAATTAAAATAATAACACTAATAGCTCAAGTAGAAGAAAATAATTGGCTTTTTAAAAAAAACAGCAAGTTAATATGATCTTCTAAGAATTTTAAGGTAATAAACTTTATTTTTTTTAATTTTATGATAATATACTATGAGTAAATAATGAAATAGATGCTATCCAGTTAGTCACTAATCTACCATCCATTTACTCCATATATAATCTTGTAAACACTTCTGAAAGTCAGCTATGACATCGGACAGAGGAAAGGACTTGAAGTTAGGAGACCTGAATTCGCATTCTGGTTCTGCCACTTCTTATGTAACTTTAGTGCTCCATTTCCTTATCCATAAAACAGAACTAACATTACCAACCTCAATGGAGTGTTAATATTACTTAGGATAATGGATAGTCAAGTGTCTAGCACAATAATTATACATTGATAAATGTTAGTGGACATGGTTAAGAATCACAAAATAGAAAAATGGTCATTTCAGTTCCTAAAGGCTGAAAAATCTCATTTTCACAATTTAAATTATTTTTAATTTAGAAATTTTTCATATATTTTTTCCCACAATTTCTTACACAGAATAATGCTTTCAAATGCAATTTTTTTTGTTGTCAAATGATACAAATTGAAATCATAGTGGGCATTATGCACGCCTTTTGTAACTCTTCATTTAGCTCATTGTTACGGTATACTGATATGTTCAATAAATGCTATAAAACAGCTTGAAAATATATAAAAAAACAACATAAAAAGGAAAAATGAAAGATTAGGGTTTCAAATGAATGTTCATGAAAATTTGAAAAGAGAAAAGAATTTTAAGTTCTTTCTTGAAACCAATGTGTCTTAAGCTAGTTTCTTAATGGGAGGGTCATAGTATCTCCATTGTTTGGATGAGAAAAACAACCCTAGGCACTGGGGTATAATTTAAAGGAGAATCAGAAACAACAAAAATTAAAAGAAACAGTATAAAAATATAGAAATGTTAACAATTTTACAGGATAGCTCTTCTCCCTGACTTTCTAATCCACAAGAGTTCTTGACATTTCTTTAACTTAATCACCCAATCACAAAAATGAAGCAAAATGAAAACATTATTCTCAAAGAGAAAGCTACTCTCTAAAATTAGCTACATGAATCTTTGGGCAGTTTTGAGCTCCATTTATCTATCTCTGCCTAGGACTGGAGGTTTCTAAGACAAGTACTCCACAAATAAGGAAGTTTAGAGTGTGTTAATTTAAAATTGGAGACATTTCCAGATGTCAGAGCTCTTTACATTCCATTCTACAAGGTAGGCATGGCTCTTACATAACAATCTGTTGCATGGACAAGAATTTATTGGCAGATCACATAGCAGAAAGTCTAATGGTTTTGTTGCAAACAGGTCTCAGGATGGCTCCAAAGAATGACAGGAATGGACTAGGAATAGATGATCTGCTTAAATTCTCAGTTCACAATATGAACCACAACCTGTGACCTGGGTGGGGAGACTTCAAAGGTGAGCCAATAAAGGATACACTTAGTGTCCCTGTCAATTAATTTTTTCCCACCATTTTCACTTTGTGAGAAGTTTTTAAGGTTACAACTAGATACTTGCCCCAAGGACTGGAAATTTTTCTCTCCTGACTCTAATTCTTCAAATGCACTGTTTTTAGGTTTTGTTCCAGTGTAGGAGTATCATAATAGAAGGAGAGTTACTGTTGCTAACTTTGTGTCAACAGTCTTGAGGACAGTGTAGCCTAGCTATGTTAGAACAAAGTGAGTATAGTTATCTGTGTGCCCAGGTATAGCTAAACTGATTGCTAAAATATGGAGACAGTTCCATACCTGGTGATAACAGATACTGCCCCAAGACATCTCAGTTCTCCTCTTGATCCCTCCACAATTCGGCCGTAACATCAGGTACTGCAGGAGGTCTTGGCTGTGTACTCGTATTAGTCATTAAACAGTATGAACATTCCTCTGAGTTAGACTATCAAGTGACCCTCTAACTAAACCACACCTATGTATGCCTAGGAAGTAGGATTTCTGTTTTAAAGAACTATGGTATCCTTTTGGAAAGAGTATTACTGCATTACAATATCTGCCTCCAACCATGTTACTCTTAAAATTTCAGAGAGCTTAGTTGAAAATCTTCATCACAGGAAATTTTAAAATGCCAACCATATGATGATTCCCATCAAAAATCTGTAACAAGGAAACTACAATGATGACATAGTCTGGCCTCAAAACTAATTAAATTCTAATATCCTCTATATCCTTATCAGATTATTCTTGAGAGTATAATTATAAATAGTTTTCATGGGCTGTTTTAAGAACATTCAAATGTGATCAGAAATAAGCGGTTTTAAAATATTAAGAAAAAAATTTTGTTAGCATTCATGTTGAAATTTCTCAGGTATAAGAGATTTTTTTCTTGGTTTACATTACTGATCTGTGAATTAATGAACCATCTTTATAAAAGAACAAGAGCAAGATAAACATAAATGTTAAATGTACATTGTAAAGGTCACTGTTAATATGAGGGAGGTTCCCCTCTACTACATGCACATTATTCTGAAAACCTTACAGAACTGACAACATGAATCACTCTGTTAACCAAATGGAAAGAACTACAATGATTTTAGCAAACTTTATTTTTATCAAAGTAGAGTTCTTAGAATGTGTTTTCAACCTGCATTTTGCTTCTTTGCACAGCATTTGAGCGAACATCAGTAACCATGATTTATGTTCAGAAAAGAAAAAAAAATCCTGCTATAATTTCAGTGACATTTTGGATATAGGTAGAGAATCATCAAAGTTAAGAAGAAAAAAAACTGGAAAATGTACAGTATAAATATTGAAGCAATGGAAGAAATTATAAAGAGAAGACAGAATACATGTGATAATATAAAATTGCAAAAACTTTGGTACAACAACCACAAAATTTAACATGAGAAAAATAGTAAAAAAAATATAGAAAATAGATAAAGGAAAACCCAAAATATGCCCTTAGGTAATTGTATTATCTTAAGATTACCACATCCTTAATGAACAAAAGATGATTAAATCTATTTGACAAATTTTTAAAGCCAAAATTATACAATCTATAAGTAAATGAAGAATTACACAAAATGCTAATTTAAAATAAAGCAATGTTTTTCAGTTATTAAGTTATAAATAAAGAAAAAATTAACTGAAATCTATTAAGAATTGGTAACTAGGGACAATACTCTCATAACTTATTTAAAAATGTAAAACATTCAATAGTTTAGAAATTAATCAGGCATATATATTCCCTTAGTCTATTTTTCCTTAGCACACTCCACTTTCTCTTCTGCAACACCAAATTTAAGTACAATTACCTAATATAATGTCTGTCCTTTCTTCCAAACTGCAGACACCTCTTAATTATGGGACCACCTTATTCACCACCATGTTTTAGCATTCAGCACACAGCAGACATTCAAACATATTATAACTAAATAAATGTCTCTACATCACTTAATTAATATTCCCATTCTTGGGAAATCAACTCAATAACTCAGAAGAGCACAGTTATATCATAATAATAGGTAAAAATCATTGCACATTTACACGTTGGTTGACATGGATTATCTCATTTGTTTCTCAGGACGATCTAACAGAAAGACATCATTTTGTATCCATACAGAACATGATAAACTGAAGTTCAGGGAGATTAAATAATGTGACTAGAGTTGCAAAGCTATTAACACTTTTGCCAACATTTGAAGCTTAATCTGCCCAAATTCAAAGTCCAAGATATTAAAACTGGTGCATTTGTACAGTGCTATAAAATGCCTATGGGTAGAGTTTTTTATAAAGGCAAAAACTATCTAATAATATGAGATCAATTAAAAATTGTTATAATTTCCATAGTTTAAAAAATGATTCATCTGAAAGTAAAAAAAAATCATGTATAAGAAGGAAGAAAAAGCTTCCAAGTATTTCATTTATAACATATGTACTCACAAAACAGAAGAATGAAGAAATTTTTTATTTTTAAGGTGAAAGAGTTAATGGTAAACTTGATTTTTCATGCGAAAAGTGGCTTTTAATAATTAAATCTGAAATTGAAAACAAATAAAAATCTATTTTCTCCAGTATTTAAAACCTTTACTAGAGAAATATCCAAAATCCATTTAGTTCACTGAGTCTTCAAATTTATAGAATTTTCAAGTGATGTTTATATCTTAAAAGATGTGTGACATCAAGAGCATTTTATATTGAACATTCCACTGTGAACTCACTGTGATTTCTATAGTAGTGTAATAACAAGTTGGAGCATATTGGACTCTGCTGCATTGACCCTGCAGGGTGTCGAGTAGCAAATTAAATATTTTGAGCACACTCTTATACATGTCCAGAGCTTCACTTCACATGAAGATAAATAAAATTGCAAAGAGAAGCTACAAGGTAAGTCAGCAGTACAGAAAGAGATGAGTCCAGATTTCAATGAAGCAATCTGAGGAGTTGGTTCGAATCTGTGATCAAGATCATCTCTTTCTTGCTACAATTAAAGTGATGACTTTAATCTGTAAAGCCTGACATAGGTTTACCTTGGGTACCTGTTAGATCACCTCTTGAAAAAGCACAACAGTGAAAAATCTGCTGGGCAAAACTGCTCTCCGTTCTCCAAACTGAACCACACTGTCCTCAGAGAAAACTGTTGGACAATGCTCATTCATAAAGCATGTTCTAATCTCTGGCTAAGAATAGAATACAGGACTTACTGCTGCCTAGCCACTACATGGGGTAATTTAATGTGATGCAGTGTGGGCCGACCAGTCAGATATCCTGGGTGTGCTCACTTCAGCATCACAACCATGCTGAGCTACATGCAAGAGAGTGAAGCTAGTGACCCAAGAACATCTTTCTACCTACTTTTAGGACAAGTGATGACTGAGCTGCAATGAACATAAAACTTCCCTTAGTGATAGTGTCTATCTACAGGTTTGACATGTGGTAAGTATTCTCCAATGTTAGTAATTTTCAAATAGAAAAAAGAAACTTTTCAGATTTCATAATGATTAATTATTCCTTTGGCAACCTACTGCTGTAGCACTGAAATGTTTCATTTCAGGGGACAAGTGGGAATAAGGCTGGTACTATTTAGTTGTTGCTGCTATACATAGAGTTTAGAGAAGCAGGGGGCCCAGCCCTGATGCTGAAATTGCTTCTGTCCCTTCTGGTCTAGGGTGTGGTTTAAAAACAAATCAATCAATCTCCATTTTTAACAGGAACTCAAATGTTTCTGATGTGAGTGGGCCAGGAACCAGACTTTGCAAACTGCCACTCTTACACTTAGAATAAGTAAGAGATGGCTTAGATGGACTGTGAATGCTGTTTTAACACCCTTCCTTCCATCAAAGCATTCAGTAACACCTGTGGTTCTGACCAGCAAGATCACCAGTAGAGACTCTGACCTAAGTTCAAAGAAATTTTTAAACCAAGGTCTTTAACCTGGGGACTATAAACCAAAAGGGTTTCTTTGGATGAGCTTCAGTGGCCCTGTACAATTATAGGCAAAATGCAACATGTGCATTTCCTGAAGAAAAGTCCTATTACTTTAAATCAGATTATCAGAAGTGTTTGGACCCCAGATATATTGTATCCCATGCTGTAATATGTTTTTGCTCCCTTGAGATCAAAGGGCCAAGAATTCTCCTGCAAACTAGCTTAAGTGATAGGAGAGCCTTGTAGTTGCTCCTTGAGTGACAGGACTTCTCTATCAACACATGGAAGTATGTCCACTTCTTGCTAAAGGACAGTGCTCTCTTGACTTTTCAGGGGCATTCAGAGTTGGGCAAATGATACTCTGATTCTACAACTACAAAAGTGTGCACGGGGCACCAAAAGTCTATTTGTATTATTTACTATTTTCTTTAGGTTTATAGCCTTCAACTTAACCACTTAACCATGATTCCATGAAGTATACTAAAATTTCTCGAAATTAAGTACAGGGAAGTGCAGTAATATTTTATGGTTATGTTTTGGCATAAATTATCTTCAGTATCTTTTCAAGAGAAATATTATGTTTACTTCATTGTTTAGTTAAAAGGATTACTCAGTTTTTACATGCACAATTTTAAAAAATCAATGTTGTCCTTACAAGTTGTTCAGCATTTCTAATTTTACTTTTTAGAAATTATGTGTGATTTTTTAAACAATGTTTATCACCATCTTTGCATTGTTGAGTTATACAGCAATACCATACAGTATGTAGCCTTTTCATACTGGCTTCACTTAGTTATATGCATTTAAGGTTCCTCCATGTATTTTCATGCTTTGATACCTCATTTTTTTAAGCTATGAATAATATTTCATTGTCTGGCTTTAACCACAGTTTATTTATCCATTCACCTACTGAAGGACATTTTGATTATTTCCAAGTTTGGGGAATTATGAATAAAGCTTCTCTAAATATCCATGTGCAGGTTTAAGTATAAATATAAGCTTTTAACTCCTTTGCATTAATACCAAGTAGTGTGATTGCTGGATCCTACTGTAAAAGTATGATTAGTTTTGTAAGAAACTGCATAACTGTCTTCCAATTAGGTTGCATCATTTTTCATTTCCACAGCAATGAATGAGAATTCCTGTTTTTCCACATCCCCAGTAGCATTTGGTGTTCATTCTAATAGGTGTGTAGTGGTATCTCATTGTTATTTTAATTTGTACTTCCTGACGACATATGAAGTGGAACATTTTTCCATATGCTTATTTGTCATCTATATATTTTCTTTACTGAGATTCTGTTAAGGTCTTTGACCCATTCTTAAATTGGATTTTTTAAAATTTTCTTGTTGAGTTTTAAGGGTTCTTTGTATATTTTGGGTAAGAATCTTATATCAGATGTATCTTCTGCAAATATTTTCTCCCAGTCTGAGACTCGTATGCTAATTCTCTTGATGTTGTCTTTCGCAAAGAAGTTTTTAATCTTAATGAAGTCTGGCTTGTCAATTATTTCTTTCATAGATTCTGCCTTTGGTGTTGTATCTAAAAGGCATCATGATACCCATAGTAATTCTCCTGTCACTTCTTCTAGAAGTTTTATAATTTTGTGTTTTACATTTAGGCTTGTGATCCATTTTGAGTTAATATTTGTGAAGTGTGTAAGGGATATGTCCATAATTTGTTTTTTTTTGCATACGGATATCCAGTTGTTTTATCACCATCTATTGAAGCAATATCTTTCCTATAGTGTATGCCTTCGCCTCTTTATAAAAGATCAGTTGACAATATTTATGGAGGCCTATTTCTGGGTTCTCTATTCTGTTTCATTTATCCATTTGTTTATTTTTTTTTTTTGGCCAATTCCACACTGTCTTGATTACTATGACTTTATAGTAGCTTTTGAAGTTGGGTAGTATCAGGCCCTCAACTTTGTTCTTCTCCTTCAATATTGTGCTAGAAACTACCATATTAAAACTTCACATGCAGAATAAAATGTTAGGTCACAACTCTCATATGTTCTCTAGCAACATTTTTATTTATAAGCACTCTTCATCTGTTCACAAATGTATTGCTCTTTCACATTTTTTTCCTAGTAGTATTTTTATCAATTGCCTGCCAATTCCTTCTTTGTTATTTATCTATTAAAAGGATTGAATTTTTCTAAACAAGGTTTTGTGTGCCTAATTTTCTATTAAGTGTGTATCATGGAAGGAGGCAGAAGTATGTGTGTATGTGTGTGTGTGTGTGTGTGTGTGT